ACACCATTGTTTCAGCAACAATGCACCTTATCACAATATGCTTGGTCCAAGATTGTATGGCATGCTCCCATGCACCAGTTTTCAGTTCAGATTTTGATGACCCTGCAATCAGCGCCCCACCAACCTCTTTTTCTGTGCAATACTTCTCTGACTAGAAGCGTCAATAATTTTCCACATGATTAGAATTTAGTCTCTCTTAATTATGTAGTACGCTGGTGGTTTTTTCATCCCCCCAAGTGACGGCAAAGCATGCGTCCATACATTGGAAGTATTAGGGTACTTCGCTAGGTTTTTTTCTCATGTTTCATTTAGCCTAAACTAACACTGTATGACATCATTTTTATATGCCTGTATTATCTTATTTAACCATTCCTTTTATTGGGCATCAGTGTTCTATGATTGAGGCAGAAAGGCCTTCCAGTTTTTAGTAAAAAGCTTGTCATGAGGCTTTTTTTAATTTATTTGAGTCCATATTTACCTTTTGCAAATCGTTCTTTCACATACAGTTAGTGATATATTTGCAGATATACCTTCATATACATCAAAATACATGATTTTAGTTGCTGATTAAAATTTACTCTTAAGTTCATTTCAACTGCTGCATTGTTTTTATTTTCTTCTATTCTATGCAGGAACTTCTCTATCTGTATGGTTTTGTGATCGATAATAACCCAGATGACTATCTCATGGTAACAGCTTTCATTTAGTATGTAATTTGTACACCCTTGGCAAAACTTCTCTTTAGCATATTATTCCCCTTCTTTATTGTTGTCTATGGTATAATATATCATTTGGGACTTAAAGTAAAGTAACTTCTTTGTCTTCGTGTTCATAATGACGTAAATCATAACAAGAACATTAAACACTCTTACGCATAAAAAGAGATGATTGTTCCTAAAACCACGCATAAAATACCATTATGGTAGAATCGTTTAGGCTGGAGCCTCCTTCTGCATGTGTGTGTAGGCATATATGCATTCACAATTCAGCCACTCATCTTTTCAATAAGGAAATACATAAATGCAATCATACTGACGTGATGGGCTGAAAGAAATGTTTTAATTTTTATTGCAGTTTCAAATATAACTTTGAAATCTAAAATGTGTGCCTATTTCTTCCCCCGGCTTTTTATCAAGTACTATAAGATAGCATTCCAAGCAGCTCTGCCACTATAGCAGATCATAACTTAATCCAGCTGGCAGTTTTGCAACTATAGTTGTGTTTCGAATTTGCCCCTTGCCCTGGGTATTGTTTGCGGTTGTTACTGCTGTTAATTGCCCTATCTCAGTTCGTGATTAAACTTGCATTTGATCACACTTAATATGGTCTGATGTATATCATAGCTTATCAAAGATGTTGGGTCCTTTCAGGTCCACTATCCAGCAGAAGCAATTGCTTCTATATCTTGCTCAGAATCCAAAAGTCGGCTTCTTGAAGCACAGGTATGCAAGTAATGTATCTCCTATTGGACTTATTATGTGTTACCTTTAAGTTCGTAAAAATCCTAGTAATTATTGTTCTTGGTGTTTATTGCTATTGTAAATCAATTGCTTTCTCTTGTTTATATTTACAGAAGGCTGAGATGAGATGTCTTTTGCCCAAGACTTTGTTGGATCATGGGTTTTTTCCTTTAGGCACCAAAAAAGGTGGGGAAAATGAGAGGTGCAAGGTAGACCAAGTTTGCAATTATAGTTGGAGTGGTCAACGGAAGACACCATCTTATGCAAATAAGCTGGTCTTTCCCGAGAAGTTTATGACAGCCTTGAGGACCATTGCCATGCAGGAGAATGAGATCTTTAAAGTTTCCTCACTGCTTGAAGAGGTGCGTTTTATTTTCATAAACCTTTCCCCATTTCCTGTCATTAGATATCCTCGGCCTGTTCTTCGTATAAACATGACCCACCAGCCTATTGGGCTTATCAGAGACATTGAGGATTTCTGATGCAGCTATAATTTTCAGTTTCTGTAACTCTCTTTTGATCACATAGTTGAGAGCAAATACTAAATATAATTATTTTATTTATTTTCTTGTATGGCCATTAAGAATGTCAAGTGTGCATTACCTCTCTCAGTGGCTGACAAAAAGACCCTACTACCATGCAATGTTTTATAAGGTAGCAACTGGCAAATATATGATTTAATGTATTTTCTACTGCAAGAGACTGCAAAAAATAAAATCCCATGCAATTAGAAGATGCTCCTCCAGTCCTTAATGTAGGACCTAATTGGGGAGTTGATGTTGATCCTATGTTTATGATCTATTTCATAAATTTATTAATTTTTCTCAAATTAACCCTATTGATATTCTCCTAACAATAATCAAGTATAAGAAATAATATTTAAGAAAAGTATATCATATTAACTAATTTAACTAACATCTTTAATCTACTCAAATTAATTAACTAGGGCTTACATTAAAGACCGGAAGTGTAGTTCATTTTATTTCCTTCAACGTGTTAAAAGATGAATTATGTATTTTCTTGTGTGATAAATGAATCAGATGGTGAGTGAATAGTAGTACTTGCATACTTCCCTTGGGGACTAGCATAATCAAATCGAATCAAAATTTGAAATTTTTAAAGGTTTTGTTGCATTTCAAAGAGAAGGAATAGAAAGGGCAGTTTTTATTTTCTCCAAAAAAAAAAAAGGATATGGTCTTTGAACCTTAGTAAATTTATTGCAAATAATGAAAGAAGTAGAGAGATAGGAAAACAACTGATTCGGTTTCTCCCATTGCCAAGTGGCAACACACATGCGGGCTAATTTCTGGGCCTGAGCGAAATCTATTTGTTTATTTATATATGGGGTCAAGAACACTTTATCACTTCTCCCAGAAGCAAATATATAAGCATTTCATTCAATTATTTATCTATATCTGAATCCAACGTTTTAACTTAATTTTTTCCTCTAAAGCTTCTTGGATCTGGAGAGGAAAGAGAACCATCGGATACGGATGTTCAATCAGCAGTCTGGGAGGTCTGTGGCGATTCTGGAGCCTTCCAATTGCTTGTTGATCTTCTTCGAGTTAAGTAAGTGCCAGGAAATACTTAATAATTTCTGACAGCTTTACATGAAGTATAAGCGATATACTGATGCTTCTTGCAACTTGCCTTTTGCAAATGATGTTATGAGGCATTTCCCATATTGAGTAAAATGGATCTCGCCTAGTTTGGAATTAAGGTGTATCCTGTGGCTCACACTGACCAATTGCACTGCATGCAAGGTTAATGGATCTTGAAGAGGGTTCTGGAACGGAGGAAAGCGACACTGATTTGCTGAACAAGGCCCTTATTATTGATAGCCGGGATGATAACCAACAGTTGAAGAATAGTTCAAGGTAGGAATTAGTTTCCTTGATCGGAGTAATTTGACTTGTACCTTTTAATTGCTAAGTAGAAAGGGTTACACGAGATTCACTGTCTTCTTGGGGGAAAAAGGATAAACTTTGGTACACGTCATGAATCCTCCGCATTAGACATCCTTCCAAAGACAGTACATTGACTAAATGAGAGCACGGGCTCTGATTTATAGTGAGGGCCTCGCCATTAGAGTACCTGAGTTTTTATTACTGTACTCTTTACTAACACTATTCCTTTCTTTTAACCACTAAAACATTTCATCTACCATCAATCTTATGCACCATTGATCTTCTTTTAGCGCATTCAAAGAGAAATGAAGAATAGAGGAGAAGAAATAATTTTGTGGGTCGGATTTACATTTTTGTGGTATCTTGAATCTACCATATGAACTGTTTTCCTTTTCCATGTTATCGTTCTCTTTCTAATATATTTTCCAAACCTGCAGCAACACCAATGAGACTGAGGAGCACAAGTCTATGAGTAGAAACCAATGGTTTTCTATAGTATATCGGCGAGGCCAAAAGCAACTCACTCGCTTATTCTTGAAAGAAGCAGAACACGCTCTGCAATTATCCTTAGATGTAGAAGAGAGATAGAGAATTCTGTCACCTGTAGTCTCCTTTTCCCGTTAAATAAATGTGACTTTGGTATACTGAGGTCTGACTCTTACTGGACGAGGTCAACAAGTTTAACATTTCTTGTTAACTTGCGTCTGACGTTTTAGCTTCCCCATCTCTACTTTCTGGCGTCTAATGATTCCTTTTCCATTTCTATTTCGGGGGCTTTTGTCTCTGCAATTTCGGCTATAGAAGAACACTGAATGGCGGGATGAAATCTGGTTCTGACGTCCTTTACGGCTCGAAATCGCGGATTGAAATCTGCTTTTTGGTTTTCATTTTTGGGCCCCTTTTGCGCTATGGATTGAAATGTATAATTGTTGTCGTTCTCATGTTCAAGACCGTTGTTATTCTACTATTCCAATTCATTTCGTCTTTTGTATTTTTTTATTTTTTTAAACTAATTCTTGTATTAGTTCTGCGTACTAAAGGTTTCATCAAATGGTAGTTACAGTCAATACACATGATTAGTATAGGTATTTTAAGAAAGATAACACCTGATACAAATAACTAAGTTAACAAATTTTTTAATATGCTCAAATTAACTAACTAGCTCTTATATTAAAGACAAAAAATACTAATATTTTATTATTATTATTGTTATTATTTTCTGATTTGTGATTCCTTACTCCATTGTTTTGGTGGCCTTGAATGGTGATTTGGTCGGTCGCCGTGCTGGTGTGGGTTTATCTTCTTTAATGGTTTATTTTGTTCAAAAGATATCGTAGTCATTTGATATTGTAAACATTCATTTCGATGAAGAATTATGCGAGACTTTCATTGACATGCAAAATATGTTTTTAAATCTCATTTTCATTCCATTTCCACTTCCTTTTCCTTCAAAATCTTTTCCACATACCAAACGGGCATTAAACCATTCTTTACAATCCATCTCAAAAATCCCAAAAAGCCTCCTCTAGACCTAGTTTGCTGGTTCAGTCGCGTTTCGCATGATTAACGACTTTTTTGCACATGGGGAAAAAACGGGTTTCGATCACCTGAAGTGATAATTCGATTTTTTGAAAATCTGAACATCTCAGTCCAAGCAAATTAAGTCATTGTATATTCCATTCTAGTAATAGCACTGCGTGTGATGAAAAAGGGGGGATTTTGATCGACGAGGTTGTCTAGAGTCCCTGGCCCCCAACAAAATAAAACAACAACATCAAAGGTTGCCTCAAGACATCATTCTTGCATGCCTGTCACATGCTGAAGGGACCATCCGAGAGAGTAAGCAGCAGCTGCAGCTACGATTCCATTGAAGAGAGTGACAGCAACAGAAGAGACATAGTTGTTACTTGCAATCCTTGCCTTTGCTACCCCCAGAAGAGCAAGAACCAGTGCTGTGACAATACAAGATCCCATGAACTTGACGGAATCATTGTTTGTGAATGGAATGAGAACGACGATAGCGAGTAGAGGGGCAGAACCGAACAGCATGAATGAAACAAAGGTGACAAGCCCATTCTTCCATGGCTGAACTTCTCCATCTGCTGGCACCATTTCCTTGTTACTTCCCATTCTCTGCTCCACCAATATGTTCTTGTATTTGGCAAACATGTTCACGGCCTTCCGGAAAAGAAATGGAGTAAGTTGATCGCCAACTATCTTGTTCAAATAAGCACACAACCAGTGATACCATTTCGTAGTACTTAAAAAGACGTGTTTCTCTTGTAATTTTGGACAATTTCATTGTGTGGTGGGCTATTGTTATTGGGATTATGCAGACATATTCAGCTTCAAATGTCAACTTTCTCCAAATAACTGCAATAAAGGGTAAGTGTTTTTCTCATACATACCATGGTTGCATCATGATTTTCCATCCCAAGAGCTTCATAGTGTCTAATTAGCTCCTTTTGCTCTTCACTTCTGTGGTTCGCGACATCCCATTCAGTTGCTTGCCTTTTTTTGACAAGAACATCTTGCTCGGCCTTGCTTGACAGGAAGTCCCCGAGCCCCATTGATATTGCATCCGCCACAAGGTTTGCAAACCCCAGAACCAGCACATCCACTATGAATACATTTTTATTTGCAGCACTGAAGTTAGTAAATTCATCAAATTTGCACACGATGGGCTGCAAATTTTGTGTTGTAACTAGACAGGAATTAGTTGTACTTCTTGGCATGAGAACCCAAGTGCATAAAAATAACTTCTTAAAAAAAATTGGGCTTTCCATCATGTCCTGCTGAACTTGACTTTTGATACCACTTGTTAGGATCTTGAAAAGTCTTGATTCTATTATTATCTTTTTCTCTCTTTTTTTATTTAAATGATTATTCTTTTGTGCATTGATAGTTAGAAGATTAACATCATTTTGCATCTTGTTTTATTAAAGATAAAAGAATGAAAATTTAATAAATAATGATAAGATATGAAGTGTCCGAATTAGGATGATCTAGACAAAATGTGCATAAACCTTCATTTTCGATGACCGTATAACCAGTGTGGCCCTCACTTACAGATAAGACCGGTGGGAACTAGTTGGCGAAATGTGTGGTGACTAATTATCGGGCTTAAACTTGGATTTTTGTAATGAGAAACACGCTGTAGCTTTGTATATGAAGTTGACAAATGACAATGCATGGCATAGATACAGGACAAAAAATTTAATACTACATTCGTCGTTCTAATTATAAGAGCTAGTTAACTAATTTGAAAAGATTAAAGAAAGAAATTAAATTAGTTATTTGTAATAAATAGGTGTTATCTTTCCTAAAATATCCTTACTAATCAAGTGTATTGACTAGAACTATTATTGTTGTTTCTAATAAATAGGTGTAAGGGGGTGTTTGGATGAAGCAAAACTATGGTTTGGAGAATAGCTTCTGGAGAGAATAGATCTTGAAAGAATAGATTTTCTGAAAAAGTGATTCTGATAAAGTGAGAGTGTTTGGATAATTGTTGTCAGAAGTGCTTTTTGATATGTAGAAATTACTAAAAAGAACATAAGTTTAAATGATAATTACATGTAAGATATATTTCATAATATATGTTTATTTGAAGTAATAAATTTGTTAATAATATATATTTTGGCAACATAATAAATAAGACATAAATAATATAATTAATAAAAAATTAAAGTGTATATATATTAATAAAATAATTAAATATGTTTTTAGGAAAATGATTTACTTTGCCAAAAAAAATATTGTTATTTCTTAAAAATTTTAAAGATGAAATCCCATATTTTTTTCACAAAATTAAATAACCACACAAAAAAATTTCATATTAATTGTCTTAATAATAGAGGTTGCAACGAAATATATTTGTCTAAGTAGTTTTTTTTAACAACACATTACATTATCTGAAAAGAAAAAAGAAAATAAAAGGGACATGATTATTCTTGTATATAGTGAATAATTTGATCTCTTATGGAGTCACGAAGCCGAGTCATATGAAATGAAGATTCTATTGATGAAGGTATTAAGACCTTGTCTATATATTAACTCTCTAATTAGGTTTTAGATTAATGACCGGAACAATAATCTTACATTTAAGACCAATATTAACTCTCCAATTAGGTCCTACATTAAAAACCGAAATAATAAATTTATTAAGTTTTTTTTGCCAACATAATAAACAATGTATAAAAACATATATTAATTACTATATCCAGTTGTTAATGTAAGAGTTAGTTGACTAATTTGAGTAAATTAAAAAAATAAATTAAGTTAGTTATTTGTAATAAACAGGTGTTGCCTTTCCTACAATATCCCTATTAATCAAGTTTATTGGTTATAACTTAAAAAACGATAGACAAATATGAGAAATAAAGTAGATTGAGGTTTTATATTTAGGACTAAATAAAAATCAAATGAGGTCTTGTATTAAAAACAAGATGTGGTAATTGTTAATATGTGTATATATAATTATAAAATATAAGATTATGTTTTTAGAAAACTAAATAATTATTTTCAACCAAAAAAAAAAAATACCATACGTAAGGGGTGGGGGAGAACCACTCAAAAAGCAAAATTTTTTAGCTTATTACAAAACCTTGGTTTTGATAGGCAAACCATGGTTTTATCATAAAACCATGGTTTTGAAAAATTGATAGGTGTTTAGGTAATTTTTTCCCAAACCATGGTTTGGACAATCATCCAAACACCCCCTAAGTCAACCCCTTTCAGATTTCCCCAAAAAAAAAAATCTTTAACATGAGACCAGGCCAAACCCGTGGAACTCTATCTTTGTCCTTTATATGTCCTAGCTTAAATTAGTCTAATGTGAAAGAACAGAATTGGTTCGTGAGAGAGAAATGGAATTATAAAGATACCTGCAGAGGAGCGACGAGTGGCAGAGATGGAGGAAATGAGAGAGAAGCAAGTGATAATAGCGTCAAGGCCTACATATACTACGCTTTTTACATATTCTCCTCTCCATGGCTCTTTTGGTCTGCTTCCTCTGCCGCCTCCGCCCTCCTCCACCGCGGCCGATAACAGCCTTGCTGTGGCGCCGCTGCTACATTCTACGTCAGCGTCACCCATTATTGTGGGGTTTAAACTGTAACAATTTTTACTGTTACTCGGTCACTTTATAGTTTTTACAGGGCGGTGACACACACACACACACAGATGTGCGAGGTCAAAGTGAGTGTGTCATGTTGCATGCAGATGCACCAACACGTGGCCACTCATGTATTTTTTTGGTTACTTTAGTTGCCACCCTGCTTTATTATTACTGAACGAGTCTGGGCGCCTCCATCACCGAGGTTCATGATTTTTTCCCCCCCAGAAATGTAACTAAAATAGGATGCTGTGCATTTACCCAAATTTTAATAAATTATCTAACACTTCATTAGGCGTCCATCATTTGGCGCTTCTACCGTTTTCGTTTACGAGGAGTTACCTCTAAAAATACTTTTTTAAAAATTTTTTCATATAAGTAAAAATAAATCGCCTGGTACATTGCACTGATTAGATGCTTTCCTTTTTTCTAATTAAAAGAAAAAACTATAGTACTGAACTTTGCATTGTAAGAATGTACCATAAGCCATGTTGGCTTGTATCTCCTCCTTTCCTAATTATAATACACTTTATAAGATTTTAAAACTAATTAAAGTTTTTCCCTACGATGCCGCTAATAAATTGTTAAGATTCACCTGTTCGATAAAGGTATTTAAAGTTGAAAAAATAATGACATTTAATTGAGGATAAAATTAGAAAGGAAAATTTTTAATTTAATAACTATTTTATTGGTGCTTGTAATTAGGTAAATTGTGTCTATGCTTAAGGTGGGGGTATAATCTTACAAAGAGATCCACTGCAATTATTTACCACTACTAATAAAATATATATGTCAAAAAATTATTACAAATTAACAAGCATGCATATGTAATCAAGTTTTACCACCATCAATAGGGTACTTGATTTTCTGAAAAAAGTTTATATAATGATTGGTTGGGAATCCCCAACACTAGTTAATGGGAAAATCCCAAAAAATATCTCTAAAATTTCAAAATCCCAAGACTACAAAAATATACTGTCATTTGTTGTCATTTATTATTAAAATATAGTAAACAAGACTAATTTAAAATTTTAAAATTCAAAAGCATTTTTTTAAAATTCTCCAGTAGTTAATTAATTTATCAAAACACGTTTTTTTGGGTAAATTTCCAAAAATAAATGAAGAATTGAAACAAGCGTATCAATTCAAGATTTCAAGCAAATCCCTAAAGAGGAGATGGAATGTGCTTGTATGTGGAAGAAAAAACTTGATGTGATATCAAAATTTATTTTTCCCCAAATATCGTCCGATTTTTTTGCCACAACAAAACATGTGACAGAATTGATACAGATTATGAAATATGATGCTTCACCGTATCGCAATATGCAGTTAAAACCACCCAAAAAAAAAAGTGAAGGTGCATATTAAACTCACTCCCTCGATTGTCATTTATCTTCATTTCTTATTTCGCTAAAAAAATAAAAATAAAAATGCATCATTTGGTCCTTGCTGAATAATAAACGGCAATGCATAGAAGTAAAACAGGCATTTAAACTAATGGCCTCCTTTCTTCATCTGTGTGAGTGGTCGTCAACTCTTGATTATTACCAGTAGGAGAAGCGGGCAAGGCCTTGTTGGTGTTGGTAGGCTTATTTTCAGCCAACATCTTCAGTGTGATTCCCATGGCTATAAGCAGTAGTCCAGTCCCATGTTGTTCTGTCAACGGCTTTGTAAATATCAAGTATGACAGCATTAATGTCACTGCCTTTCTTGCAGTTGTTATCTGTCACACACAACATTCAAAATACATAGTGTATTTAGATAAGGTGAAAAGAGGTTAATACGCATAAAAATAGGACGTGGGCCCCATGCAGGATCATATTCTTTTCTGTGATCTTCCTCCAAATGCATGAATGTATATAAAATTAAATTCAATTCAATTACAATCAAATGATACATTTTGCAGGAGAGAATCCAAACAAATATCAGACGCAAAGTCAACAGTCAAATCAGATTCAAATGTATGGTAGGGGAAAAAATGCTGATCATTTAATGCCATTTAAGCCTTATTGGGTAGCATTTCATCCCCCATGTCATTTCCTGAGCCCAAAGAAACATCATAACTTAAAAAAGTCAACTTTCAAAACAAATTCAAACTTACTGTTGTAAAAAAGTTAACGTTGGTCATTTAATACCATTTGAGCCTTATGACATCTTGTATTTTCACAAGGCAACCGCCAAACGACTTGAAGGCCACAAGTGAGACTTGAATGTTTGGTGCGTGAATTCAAACTCAGTGGTCCAAACTGACATAATGGAAGCAGGAGAAGCTTGTGACAGAGAAACTCACCATCGCTGTTGTGGCCGCACCAAAAATGGCAATGAGGGAGAGGACAGAGACTTGGCCAACAAAAGTGGCCATCGCTTCAAACACTAACACGCCATAAACATAGGGATGCTGCAACAAAAAGAAACGCCCATTTTAGAAAGCAATAAGTGAAGAATTGGGTAACTGGGATTGTACTGAGATCTTCTGCATGAATGCACGATATTTTCACTCTTATCTCGCTTTAAATACACTTGCACATTTACTTGAATCATATGTAGCAAATACTAATTGGCAAGCGTTTTTGGTGAATGCACCCCCACATTTACCTGTGAACATGAAGTCCAAGCTTTGAATAACTCTCCAGTTAAAAGCATAGGTGGGATTAGGAAAGGCAAACCCACTACAGTAGAGCAAAAGAGCATCTCCATCTGTGATTTGAGAATAAACAAGTATTAACATGCGGCTAACATGACATGAATGCCTTTTCTTCTCATGAAAAACAAAACGCACATAGGGAATTAAGAAAATAACCTGTGTGGTCTCGGGATTCATTGTGAAGATTGCTTCTTGCAGATTTCCCAGAAAGGAATCCATGACCAAAGCACCGGATATCATTATAACGCCAATGACACTGAAATTGGGTGATGTTTGTGCATCTGCTAAAGTGAATAGAATCAAGCCCGCCACCAAAAGTACTGCTGACACATATTCATGACATGGATACTTCCTTCTCAGACCCGGTATGAAGGCACCCATTATCATCACTGGTAGCACCTAATGCACAAAAACTGAATCTAATTATATTCGAATGTTTCACATTCTGACATTCAATTAGCCTCATGGCCCAAAAAAAAACAAAAACAAAACAACAGGATTTGATTAGCTTCAACTTGACGGCCAGAATATTATCTTAAGCAGGTTGGATAATTTTGACACGATAAGCCCACAAGTAAGAATTTAAACGGGACAATCTGATTCCTAGCAACTAAGGAATAAAATAAAACAGATTATGGTGTTTCATTATGATTAGTCAACAACCAATAGCTTCCAAAGGGTTTTTTGTATTTTACCTTTGTGGATTTGAACATTATCTGTGCAGGGTAGTTCAGGAAAGCCAAAGATCCCTTTGTTAGGCCATGTGAACCCATGAGGACAGCAGAGAGCTTCACATAGGTTTTCCATGGGTTCACCATTTGCTTGCTTGTGAAGCCTTGGAGGTAAATCAGAAACAGATAAACAAATCCTTGAACAAATGTGAAGTACCATCCGTAGCTGGAACAAGAAATCAAATCTCCCACTTCATTATCAATTAACAAGTCCTCAAGAAAAGAGATATATAAAACAGTAACAAGATGAACAAGCTTGCCTGAAATGGAGCCTGTTATACACATACTCCTGAAAATCAGAAAATACAGTCAAGAACTTAATACAGATAGTCATAGAGCAGGGGAGTGTCATAGTTGAAGCATTGCAATTGTTCAATTTTCAGAAAGAACAACAGAAGATGTCAAAATGAAGTCCAACTTCCCAATGGAAAATCCAAAAGCAGAGAAGACAAAAGGCAGAAAAAGATACTTGACCCAAAAGATTTCTGTATAAAGAACCTAATTCCTCAGAAAGCGGTGTTCAGATGCTGAGGAAACAGAGTACAAGCACGCTCGATAAATTTTTAAGTATAAGAAAACAAATATCAAACTTGACCGTATCTTCAGAAAGAAATAAGCTAGAAAAGTCTGAAGTCTAAATTCCGAAGCTGTAGTTTGTTATTTTTAAGAATCAAAGCAAGTTAGGATGATATCTACCTCGCAGATGCCGTTAACAAGGTATCCAAAGAAGAAGCCAGAAGAACAAATGAGAAATTGCTGCCATTTGGGCCTGTCAGAGAGCGAAATACCGAACAGACTGCGAGTTTGCTCGTCGTTCTTCATCACTCGCTCCCGTTGCTTACTTAAAATCACTCCCAAAGCTGCGATGTGTAATAATCAAAACGTTCAAACTTGAAATGTCCTCAAAACAAGAGAAGATGGTGAGTTTGAAGCATTTGCATGTCGATTTTGGTTCCCCCAGTTTCACAAAAAAGGAGAATGGAATTGTTAAACTATGGTACAGCCATGTCCATGTGCGGAATGGAAGAAAGAAGAAAAGCTCAGCACTTATTGGGAATGAAAAGCAGCAAGCTTTTCATGGAAGCACGGATTTTCACGAATGACGAGTGCAAGCAGGGAAGGAGAGAGAGAAGATTTGCAGAGACGCTCCCCCTGAGAGAGAGTTTGCAATTTCGCCAGAAGGAGAAAGGGAGGCCTGCTAGTGCTGGCCGCTGCGTAGAGCGGTTATCTCATGCGCGCTTCGTGCAAGCCTGGGATGCTCCTCTTTATATTTATCTATTTATTTATTCATATATTTATTTATTTTACAAAAAAGGAAAACTAGAGCCAAGTCAGCCGGCTGCACGAGAACATCCCAACACCTAGAAACACCGGCCGTGGATTTTGTCGGTGGTGTCTTGTAATCCACGTATGGCAATAAGACGAGATGTTTTAAACGTGAGGTATTTTCCAAATCAATATGTCATTTTCCTGACAACATTTTTTAAATCAATATATTGATATTACAGTATAAAATTAATATCATAAAAAAATTTTTGCAAAAATGCGGAACCAGACTTGGTTAGCTACACGCAGCTAATGTAAGAGGGACATCAGTTTAAAAAAGACTATGAAAATACGAGGTGAGAAGAGTTTTTAATCATGATTTACAAAATGTAAAATAAATAAGCGAAAAGAATTTTATTTTGATTTATGTAAAACGTATTCATAATTCCAAATAAGATTGCCTGATGTCTTGATATCAGCGTCGTGGGTCACACTTAGATGACTCAAATATATTTGCGCGCGTTAGGCTTTGTTTGGTTGGGGTTTTTTTGAGGGGAGGGGAGCTAAAAAAATTTGTCCTTTTGTGCTCCCCTCCCCTCCCCCTCCTCCCCTCCCAAATTGGGGGTTTTTGGAGAGGAGAAAAATATTATGAGAATTTTGACAAATATGTTCATGCTATTTTTTGAATATTCTAGTGGTGCCCTCTTATTATTTTTTTGGTTTCGCATGATTATCTTTGCATTCCCTTTCGCAGTCGCTCAGTTACACACACACAAATATAATATGCATATATGTTAATATATTAATTAATTTTATATATTAATATATATTATAATTATAAAATGACACTGTTAATATCATATATATTTTTTATTTCTTAATATGTGGAGGGTATTATTATATAGTTAAGGTTTTGTTTTTCTTTCTCCCATTCACTTTTCTCATATATATTATACTTTGATTTCATAATTTTTTTATCACATATAAGTGAGGTAATTGGTTTTTTAAAATTGATAAATCAGGAAATAATAATTTTGATATAAATATTATAATAAAAGAATAAATCAGTCTAAATATAAAGATAAGGGCATATTTGTCAATTTATAATCTCCCCTCCCCTCTCCTTGTGAACCAAACAAGAAATCTCCCCTCCACTCCCATCCAACCAAACAAAACCCATGACCTCCCCTCTCATTCTCTCCCCTTCTTTTAATTAACTTCCCCTCCCCTCTCCTCTATTGAACCAAACAAAACCTTAGTGTGTGAGTGTGTCTAGTTGTGCGTAACCCCCGGGGGGGGGGAAGCAAGTTTAAAATATGATTTGCCTTTCCGGGCATATGATCCCAAGCAACAATTCAGTTTTATGCGAAAAGGTTATGAACGTCTCTGATCCAGCTTTTGAGGATATTATTGTAAAAACAATTTATACTAACTCATAAAATAACGTAATTTTGAACCATTATTTATATTTTAAAAAACAAAAGATTTGTATATGATTTTTAAAAATTCTACTAAAAAATGATTTATTGCATAAAGATTTTAATGAAGCAGAAAAAAAACAAAAATTATTTGCATTCCATTACAATCATAGAAAGATTATTATTTATTAATTTTTAGATCTTATCACATCTTAGTGTATCTCTTTTGTAAAAATAATTTATTACTTGGTGATTTCTAAATTTCATATGATATCTTTGAACATCTTTGCTATTATGAATATAATCTAATGCGTTTAATTATTTTTAGAAACTACTCAAAATAAGTTTTCAAAACAATCAAAAATATTTTCATATTCTGATTACTTTTCAAGCTTGAACAAATATAGTTTTTTTTTTTTTTTTCAAAAGTGACAAAGGAAAGCTGATTGTTTTTCCCCATAAGAACTCAAACGGTCGAGCCCTCATTTCCAGACTTTACACACGGGCCAAAGTTCTATTCTAAATTTCTATTTCTAATATAATCTAAGTAATGTATTAAAATTGATATGATTATATGTATATTTTTGTGATTTAAATAATGAGTTGTACTGCTGGCAAAAAAAATAATGAGTTGTACTATTTATAAATTATAAATGTAAATTTATTATATGTTTTGTCATATGCCAAGCATGATTTTTAAGTAAAATCTAAAGTTAAAACTTCAGACTCATGATTCTCGTAACAAGACGGACGTTATTTTATAAAAGTTAAAGTAAAGTCAAAACTCAGGACTTCCCAATAAGGCAGACATTTTAAATAGAGATAATTGGATGAGAAATTATATATGTTTGTACATCGTTATTATTGTATAATTTTATAAATTATAATCAAACCAGAACATGAAATACTTATTTATATAATACTCCTCCGGTCCTTAATATAGGGCCCAATTCTTGAGTTGGTTTTGGTCCTAAATACAAGACCCATTTTTCATATTTATCAATTTTCTCTAAATTACCCCTATAGATACTCCCTCAACCATAATCAAATAGAAGAGGGAGATGAGGTATTAAAAAAGATGATTATGGTGTTTTAGGAAAAATGTGTCACTTTTCTTATAATTAACTAACTTACCTAACTTCCTTAATCTAATCAAATTAGTTAAATGGGTCTTATATTAAGGACCGGAGGAGTAATAATTAAACGAACGTATATGTAGGGGAAACATTGGTCAATCCTTAAAGTATTATTGCTTTCGAAGACACAGAAAATTTCACTCATCATGGAAATCCAAGCCATCCCCAGCTGGATCCAACGTCATCTGCGCACTCATTTGTCTCATCGCCATTTTCATCTTCTTTGCGCGTTAATTTAGAAATTTCGACATATGAAAATAGAAGATGAAGCAACTTTTTTTAACGGCAGAGAATTCTGGGAAAGGGACACGATGGTTGTCTCTACGTCTCCAGTATTCCATGAGTAGGAGCAATAGAGTAATAATGTAAAAAGGTCACGAGATAAAATGGAGCACGAGGATGTCTGGGTCATTTTGATTTCATTTTTGCCCTTTACGTCCTCCAAGATAAATAACATTTCAAAGGGATTTTAGATTAAATATCTCTCTACTCTACATCGGTCCTTCGGGCTAGTTGTGAACCTCACACGCATATATCTTCTGAAAAATTCTCCAATAGATCTAACGTTTGAAGTTTGGAGAATGCTTAGTCAATTATATATATACTATCTCTGGTCCTAAATATAAAAGCTAATTGACTAATTTGAATAGATTAAAAAAAAAATTAAATTAATTATTTATAATAAATAGGTGTTGTCTTTCCTAAAATATCTTTATTAATCAAATTTATTGACTAGAACTATTATTATTAGAATTATTATCTTGGAAATAAATAAATAAATATGAGAGACAAAGTGGATTGAGTCTTATAGTTAAGACTAAAATAAAAAATCAAACTAGGTCTTATATTAAAGACCGGAGATAATATGTATATATATATATATTAACTCCAGAACTAGTGTTTCTTTTTAACTTTAAATTGTTAGAATTTGAAAGAGAGAAAAAAATTGTTGTGGTAAAAAAAAAAGGGAAAAAAAAACATTTAATGGTCATTGGCAGTCCGTGTCAATGATAGAAAATTTCGATAATACTTTGGTAGCTAGACAAGATATCTTCTAGTGTGCAATGCACATATTTATTTTTCTAAAAATTTAAACCCAGTCAAAATGTGCAGAAAAGATTGAAGGTGTAAAAACATTGTATAATGTCTAATAATACCCAGGGAGAAAGATTGAACAACAAAAAATTATTCCAAAAGCTCCGGTACTTTATTATATTATTAATATGAAGCTTTTTTATTTACATTGGTAATAATTAGAAGGCTCAGTTAAAACCAAATGTAAAATAAAAATATATTTTCATCTGGTCACTTCAACAAATTAAAGTTTTGTTCGGGCTTGTTTCTTATATCAGACGTTGGCCCCAAAAAAAAAAAAACCAAGAAGAAGTGTCCAAGACGCTCAGCGAAGTCGCTTTCCTTCAATCTTCAAGCCTCCAACAAATATCATTAAATAACTCTATGAAATGAAATTGGTTAAATTCACTCCAAGTGGCTATACCATTTTTTTTCAAAAAATAATTGTTTTGACCAGTATATTACTCTTTTCGTTATTTTTTATCCATATATTTCATACCATCCAAAATATTAACCAATATAATTTCATAAGGATTTAATTTGAGTTTAATTTCATTGGTGTGGTGTTAACATCATCAAGTAGGTGAAATAGACTACTGGCTACAATTGATGTGACCAGCGGGTGAAAATTGAAACCAACATTTACTAAAACCATAAGAATCAAAATCATTTTTTAAAAAGAAATTTAGAGACTAAAATAAAAACTTATTAAAAGTACTAGGTTTGACCCAATTAAAAAAAAAAAAAGACACTTTAATCTCATGTAACATGATAAAGAAATCAACTTTAAGCGGCATAATAGATTGAATGAAGAAATTGATTTTCAACAATAAAATATCGTTTTCAACATTTCCGCTCTATTTTCTTACTTTCAAATCTAATTTTATTCATTGGCCAAAAAACTCCGATTTTATTTAAAGGGGCTGAACTTTTTTTTGGGGGGGGGGCTAACGAACAGGGTTGAACTCAAGACTTTCAAATGAGCTCTAATTTAACATATATATTTTTGACGAGTTTTAATGTTGGTCTCCGCGAATAAATCACATTAGTTTATATCAACCTGCTTAATGGCATTAATGGCGCGTGAACAAAATTAATACTGTGAAATTCAAATTCAAATCTTTATGAAATTATAAAACTAGCATTTTAAACGACATACAATATAAAAACAAAAATAATGGAAAAGAATATAAAAACTAAAACCAAAGCCCAGCAAAAATAAAGATTGGAGAGGGGATTCAATGCACTAAATATCCTTATAGTTAAAATCTGTACCTTCAAGTAAGCTTACGTTAAAATGCTTTAATAAAAAATATCTTAAATAGAAGATTC